CTTGCTGCAGCTAGGAGAAGGACTCCTTGGTGCTGCAGATACCCATACACCATAAGGTGTAAATAAATTGGAGTGTATAAAGGCCCCCTCATGACTATCTAACTCTATATAGGTACTAAAGGGTACAGGGGGCCCCCTAATATTTAATAAAGATTTATATGTTGATGCATTTGCCGTTATACTCTCTCTAAGGGGCCCCGTTAATGGTAATGTATACACCTCCTCCTCTTCTTCTTCTTCCTCTTCTTCCTCTCCCTCTCCTTCTTCCTCTGACTCTCCTGCTGCTGCTCTTGCTGCTGCTCTTCTCCTTTTTGCTGCCGCTGCTGCTGCTGCTGCTGCTGCTGTTGGTGGTGGTGGTGGTGGTGGTGTAAGAATAGGTTTAACTATCCATCTTCCTCTCCATTTAGTAAATGAATAAGGAGGAAGACCATGATTATAATTATAATCTAGATAAGGAGAAGAAAGAAAAGGAGAAAAAGAATGATTAAAATCTAACCAATAAGAAGAACCAGTATATCCACTATAATAAGGAATTATTTCTGCTGTATACTCAGGGGGTAATGAAGAAAAATCATTCAAATCATAACAGTCCCTATTCTTCTTCCTGCTGCTGCTGCTGCTGCTGCTGTTGCTGCTGCTTGTATTATTATTATTATTATTATTATTATTATTATTAATAAAACATATAAATGTATCTGTATCTGTATAAGAATTAGATGTTGTTGGTCCCCATACCTCTTGCATAGTACTAACAACAGCACCTAAATGACCTATTGCTGTAGAAATAGAATCAGAAAAAGACGGAGAAATTACATCCCCTAATCCATCCTCTAAATATTTTCCTCTTATTATATAAGGATCTTTTATATTATGACGCTCTATACGTGATGTAGATATACTCTCTGTATGTAAATATGTACGTGTTGTATCTATTTGTATTAATCCAGGTTCTATACCTTCTCTCCTCTTCCTCTTACTGCTGCTACTGCTACTGCTGCTGCTACTGCTACTGCTGCTGCTGCTGCTGCTGCTGCTGCTGCTGCTTGTTGTTGTTGTTGCTGTTGTTGTTGTTGCATCGTCTGCTAACAAAGGACGATGTATATATGCTGAATAGGCACCTACAGGTCTATTAAATGCATTAATACGATTCGCATTCCTTTCCCCGTCATTAAGAAGAGGAGGAAACTTTATATGTGGGCATAAAGGGCCAGATAAAGAATCGCATACAGGGAATACAACCTGCACAGACACCACAAAATATACTGTTTTATTAGGGAAAAAATGATAAAAATACATTAAGAATAAAGGGAAAAGAGACAAATAATGGCATCTATATACATATATACGATGGATAACAGCGTTAAAATGTGTTATTTTATGTAATAAAAGCACAAAAAGGAAAGAAAAAGTAAAAGAAAAAGGGAAGAAAAAGGAAGAAATAGACTTACCTTTTCTGGTAGCACTTGATCAAACGTAACATAAGTTAAATCCCTAAGGGAAGAAACAAGGAAATCCGCCACACAAGAATGAATATTTAGAGATCCCTCTGCTGTAATAAAGGAAGGAATATTTTTTATCCATATTGAATTAATAATTGTTGTATTTATGTTGAAGAAAGCGGTAAAAGTTGCAAGAAATAACAGCGTATACACCCCGCGAGCAGCGCGGTATACACCGAAAAAAAGACGATTTTTTTTGCACATTTCTTGATAAAGAAGAAATTCGTAAAAATAGAAAAACGAATTTCAATCGGAATTAATTTCTTCCGGCGCAAAAAGAGCGCCGCGAGGCGAAGGAAACGCTTAAGACGCCCCGCATACCACGGAAGTTGAACGAACGCAGACAGCTGCTTTCTTGCTGTTTTTTTATGTATATTCGTTAATATTCTTCTTCTTTATGATAAGGATAAGGAAAGGAAAGCTATTTTCTTGCGAACCACCTAGTGATCAGGAGAAAAAAGAGGTAAATAAACCCCTATTATGATAAAGGAATGATGATGGCTCCTCCTCTGAGCCTGCGTTATTTATAGGAAATGGATCATTACCATAGAAGAGGATATAAACCCTCAAGAATCAGGCAAACAAAACGCTGCACGAAGAAAAGAGCCGCAAGAAAGGGCAAGAAAAGTTTAAAAGAATTAATTGCATGAGTATGAATTCATGGGGATATTCAGCTTTCCATTCTTCAGGTGTATAGGCAGCTCGTCGTGCATGTATATGTCATGGCCCTTTCTGCAGTAGGAAGCAGAAAGCTGACGATATTAAGAGCATGCAATAGTATAAAAATAAATACTTGCATGCATAATAAGAAAATAAAGTACTTTTTTCCTTTTTTTCTCCCTTTTTCTTCAATAGAATGAAGAACATTTCGCCGCTGTGATGATTAGGCAGCCGCTGACGGTCGTATGCATGCGGGGCTTTCTTCAACTTGTCTTTGAGTATAAAGGGGAAAAAAACACAATTTTTTCTTCTTTTTCTCTATATTTTATTAGTTAAATATTTCCTCATCAAGAAAACACCTTTATTCTCCTTCCTCTCCTCCATCTGATAGCTAGTTAAGCCTCCCTCTATCAAGCTACCTTCAACAGTAACCCTTTCTTGTGGTTGTCTATTAAGACTTCTTATACATATTTCTTTATTTATTTTTATTTATATTTCCCTAAATATTATATTATTTCTTCTTCCTAAAAATGTTTTTCATGTCCATTTATCTCTGCTTCTTGTGCTGCTATGCTAATTAATGCATGCGTTCCTTGCTGCATGCATATATTATTATTACTAGAGGGGGGAAGGAACTCCCTATCTTATCAATAACAAGAATAAGGGTTTAGGGTTTAGGGTTTATAAATAACAAATAAAAGGAAATAATATAGAGGGAAAACGAATTGCTATCCTAAAAACAGCAAATATTAGTGTTTATGTTTTAGGGTTTAGGGTTTAGGGTTTAGGGTTTATAAGGAGCAAATAGAATAATTTAAGGGGGGAAACAAACTACGATATACTAAACAACAACTATAAAGGAATAACATCTCCATCCCCTCCTCTTTGTATTGTGCATGCATACATGCATGCATGCATGCATGCATGCATGCATGTTCTTGATATGTCTAACGTTGCATGCTGTGTATGCATGTACACCTTATGAATAAAGTTTTTATTTTTCTTTTTTATTTATTTTTCCTTTTTTATTTATTTTTCTTCCCCTTTATATAATTTATTCCTAATAAAGAAGATTTTTATTTTTATTTTTTGTTTTCTTTGGTTGTCAGTTAGTGTTTCTTGCACATTTTAGGGTTTAGGGTTTAGGGTTTAGGGTTTAAGGTTTAGGGTTTATGCCTCCCCTTCGCTATATTTATATTTGTCTCTCTCTCTCTCTCCCTTTGCTTATGGCTATAATGTCTCTTTTTTATTCTTTTATTGTTAATTAATTTCTTTTTCTTTCTTTCTTTCTCTTTATTTCCCCTCCTTATGCATGCGTCTTTTAGGGTTTATTATTTATTTCCCTTACCTCTTTTTTCCTTCTTTTCTTTCTTTTCTTTCCCCCTTGCCAGTGTTTTAAATACTGACGGATAAAAAACAGAGTATATTTTCTCTTTTCTCTACCAAGTGGCTGCATGCAGGAGCATGCATGCATGCATGCATGCATGCATTTGCATGCAAAAAAAGCCCCAAAAGGTTTATTTGTTAGTACGGGGTTTTAACTAAGAAGGAGGAAACAAAAGAATGCAAATGCATGCATAAGATAATAAAAAGAAATAAAGAAGATTATATTTATTTATTCTTTATAGGGTGGAGGAGGTGCCTATACACCCCAAAAAGGAAGTATTCCTTTATTTTATTCTTTGTTTCTTTTTGCTGCAATATGCATGCAGCCCCAAACACGTATTAGTCACACTCTTACACTTGTATTCGTTGCATGCAAATATGCATGCATGCATGCATGCATGCATGCGTGCACATGTGTACTAAGACTAAGCCGTTTCTCTTAAGGGAAGAACAGAGCAGCAAAAATATAAATAAAAGTAGCTAAAGGTGCCTATACACCCAAAATATGTATATAAAATACCCCTTTTAAGTGATTAAAGTTTATATTAATCTTTAGACACAAATATAAGCTGCATATACACCCCAATTGTTGCGGTGTACGTACACCTGAGGTGGTGTGTATGTATAATAAATACAAATACAGGGAAATAAGTTTGCATGCACTCCTTTTGATGATACGAGAGGGGGAAAGACGCAAAAAAGAATTTATTTTATTTTATTTTATTTATAATTAAATTTTCTTTTTTTATCTTTAGGGGCACAGCAGGGGAAACTAGCGGTGTAAGGAATGGGGTGTATAGACACCGCGGTGCATGACCATCGGATCCTCCCCCCTACGAGGGATATTTTCTTCTTTATTTTATTTTTATTAATTAAATACTTAATTAAGTATAATTATCTATTTTAAAGATAAAATAAATAAAACAATTTATTAGGGTTTAGGGTTTAGTGTTTAGACAATCATCGCGACTGCAGCGCAGCAGCAGCAGCAGCACCAGCGGCAGTCGGCAGCAGCTCGAAGCTGTCTATACGGCTGACACATTATTCTTTGGTATATATACACTGTATTATTAAATAAAAAGTAAATATTTATATATATTTAATGTATTTATGTATAATAAAATAAATAAAAAGAAGAAAATAAGAAAAAAGAGGGGAAGAAAAAGATTGAATGTTTGGTCTCGACCTGCGGTGGTCTCGTCGGCCGTCGGTAGTTGCTGCCACTTGCTGCTGCTGCTGCGGTTTGCTGCTGCTGTTGCTGCTGTTGTTGCTGCTGATGCTGTTGCTGCAGTTGTAGCAGCATAGGAGCGTATCTGTTCTTTATAAGGGATATATTTATCTGTTTTTTTTTGTATTGAATATAAGGTTGCTGCTGGCACTATCGAGACATTTGCTGCTGCACACGGCCAAAGAGCAGCAGCAGCAGCAGCAGCAGCAGCAGCAGGAGTATCGACATCTCCTTCTTCTTGTCTTATAAATATATTCTTTATTCAATTATAAAATAAAAAAGAAGAAATAAAATGACAAAAAAAAATACACAAAATATTAATGATGAATATTTAGCTGCCTATACACCCCAATCCACCGACTGCAGCGGTCGATGGCGGGTGCAGCAGCAGCTGCAGCCGACTGCAGCAGCAGCAGCAGCAGCAAGAGAAGCAACATCAGCAACAACAGCAACAATAGCAGCAGCAACAGCAACACAAGGAGCATCTGAGCCCACAGCAGCAACAGACTTATCGCCGTCAGGAAAAGGGGGAGGAGAAGCAACAGCAGCAGCGGCAGCAGCAGCAGCTGCTGCTGCTGCTGCAAGTAGTAGTGGTGTATTATCACGTTTGTGGTTATATGCAGGAGCTGTCTGTACACCGCGTGCAGCAGCAAGCAGTATAATTTGTTCGTTGCTGCAGCAGCAACATCAACAAGAGCAGCAGCAGCAGCAACAGCAGCAGCAGCAGCAACAGCAGCAGCAGCAACAGCAGCAACAGCAGCAGCAGCATAAGAAGAAGCAGCAAATAAGAAGATTTACTTCTTATAGAAGACATAATATATTATTATCTAGGATATTATTAATGGCAATTGTTGCTGCTGTTGCTGCTGCTGCTGCTGCACAAGAAGCAGCAGCAATATTACCTATACCTAAGAATAATCCATTAACAGCACCGCATGCATTTGCTGCTCATCCTGCTGCTGCACCTGCTGCTGCTGCTGCACCTCATGCTGCTGCTGCACCTCATGCTGCTGCAGATAATATACAACTAACAGGGAAAATAACACAACCAGCAGCAGCAGCAGCAGCAACAGCAGCAGCAGCAGCAGCAGCAGCAAACAGGAAAGTATTTAACCTAGGGGAAGCAAAACTCATCACCCCCATCACCCTGGCATACAACAACCATCAACAGCAGCACCAGCAGCAGCAGCAGCAACAGCAGCAGCAGCAGCAGCAGGAAGAAGAGGAGGAGGAGGAGGACAACGAACAAGAAGAAGAACAAGAAGAAGAAGAAAAAGACATATCCTCTTCTCCCTCCCCACATATAAACCGTACAGCAGCAGCATCAGCAGCACCAGCAGCAGCCCTACCTTCAGCAGCAGGAGCAGCAGGAGCAGAAGCAGCAGCAGCAGCAGCAGCAGCAGCAGCAGCAGGAGAATCCTTAATAGAATTATCCTCTCCTGCCTTATTTGCTGGACAAGTAGGGGCAGGATCTATTGAATTACTTCCTGATACAGAAGAAGAAATTAATTTATTACCTAATTGTTTATTTTATTCTTCTTATCCTTCTTCTTGTATACCAGAGACTGTACACTCTCCTTGTAGGTAAGTATTATTTATTTATTTATTTATTTATTTATTTATTTATTTATTTATTTATTTTGTTTATTAAGGATATTCTTTTTTTTTCCTCTTTTTTTCTATCTATTTTGCTTTTTTTGGGGGGATTTTAGGGTTTAGGGTTTAGGGTTTAGGGTTTAGGGTTTAGGGTTTAGGGTTTAGGGTTTAGGGTTTGTGCTATGTATATATTCTCCAGATATTGTCGAGCTAAACAATTCACAGGACAATATGGTGCTGCCCAATGTAAGTCTAAACCCTAAACCCTAAACCCTTAAACCCTAAACCCTTAAACCCTAAACCCTAAACCCTAAACCCTAATTTGGTCATTTTAGCATAAAAAAGAGTTAAATAGATGCGTTTTTTTCTGGTATTTCTTGATGTAACTAAAGAAAAGGGTTTAGGGTTTAGGGTTTAGGGTTAATGTATATATTGATATGTATAGGTCCTAGTATATATTCATTCCCTATAGAACTACAATCTGCATATAGATGGAGAATTACGCCCGTAAAAATAGCAAAAAAAAAAGGATATTTAGATGAACATATTTGTGTAGTAGAGAAAGTCCCTGGTGCTGTCCCCTTGTCTCCTGATCAATTTGCTGCTGCTGCTGCTGCTGCAGCAGCAGCAGCAGCAGCAGCAGAAGAACATCATTATGTATTATGGGCTGTACTCTCTGCATGCGGACTTCTTCTTCTTGGATTGTCTCTCTTTTGTTTAATTAAAAGAAAATAAATAAATAAATAAATAAATAAATAAATAAATAAATAAATAAGTATAATTAATTAATTATATTTATTTATTTATTTATTTATTTGTTTATTTATCTTATTTATTTATTTTATTTATTTATTTATTTATTTATTTAATTTATTTATTTGTTATAAAAGGAGACAATTAATAAAAGGAGACACCTATATAAAAAAAAGGAGACAATTAATAAAGGAGACAGTATATAAAAGGAGACAAAGTGTCTCCTTTTTCTTTCTTTTTTCTCCTTTTTTTTTCTTCTCTTTATTTGTTTTATTTATATAAAACTAACAAATAAATTAACTCCTTTTTATTCTTTTTTTTTGTCTCTTTTTATACCTCTATTTATATTATACAAATAGTTATATATATATATATATT